CACTTATATATCCTTCCCTTCAAGGCTCAGGGGTCCAAGATTATCTTCTGTGTCTGTGTTAATTGGTTTCCCTTTTCTTTGTTGAAGAGCGTCTGTGCAGTCCTTGTGCCTAGTCTGCCATCTTGCCGGAACTCCCCTGCACTGTGATTTTCACAGGTCACTTGCAGTATTCTCCCACATGAATTTGACCAAGGAATTCTCCCTGCAAAACAGTTTAAAAACTTCTGCACCCTCCCCAAACTGCTATCATAATTATTTACTGAACACGGCATAGCACAGAGATTTTTTGCAACTTTTTGGGCAAGGGTAGAAACCCCCCCCACACACTTTTTTTTTAAATTACTTCATGGTCCAATATATAAATGGAATGAAAGTAGAACTGTCTGATCAAAGGGGGGCCTAGAGATCCCACCTGGCCATCCCATCATTGCTGCCATCTGAGGAACCTCCTAGTGGCCTCAGGAGTCCAATATGAAAACAATTGGTGCAGAGGCCTGCATGAGGTTGAAATGAAGAGACCTGGCTTCTAGTGCTAGATCTGCCATTAACTGATTTACTCTGGGCAAGTCATTTACACTTACTGGGCCTTGGTTTCTCCATTTATACAAAGAGTCAGTTAGACTGATTTTTGCAACTCTGAACTTCATCTTTGATCTGATAAAGACTGATTCTATGACTGTCAAATCCAAACTCCAGGATTCCATGGTTCCCTGAGCCTAAGATTCCATGGCTTACTAGTCTTTGATTATGGGGCTGCCAGTAGCCAGCCTGAGTGGTGCAGCCACTGGAGCCCAGGCTGTGAAAAGCAGAATTCAATAACTATAGCGTGCTGCCCAGGAGTGCTCAGTTCCCTGGGGAGGGTACGCCCTGTGCAGGATGGAAGCAGTAGGATGAGGAGGAGTGGGTGGACCAGAATCAGCAGCCGCTCAGTGGGCAGAGCAGGGAGAAGGACCCAGGTCTCCAGACTCCTGCTCTATCTTTAGATCTCCATAGCAACTGTTGCCAGGATGCAGGAGCTGAAGGTGCCCCTGCCTGCAGGAGGAGGGAGGGGTGTTTTCCTCCTGTGTCTCTTCTTTTACTAGGGAAATGACTGTGGGCTGGGCTCTCAAGCCAGGGCAGGAAGCCTCAGAGTAATGCTGTTTGTAGCAGGAAAGGCTTGGGGCCAATATAAAATAGAGGTAATCCAGGGTCCCACCTCACTCTGAGAATGTGATCTGGCTATAGAAGCCAAGACTTCATAGGGTGTTGGGCTTATGGCACTGGAGGTATATAAGGCAAATTCTTCCTCCAAAGAGCTCTTAGCCTCTTCTATGGTCATTCCCTAAACACTTAACAGTGCCTACTCTCTGTCACTGCTGAGACTACAGCAGGGACTCAGTCTCCAGGGAAAGCAGTAACTACACACTAAGGTCCCAAGGGAACAACTTAGCAGTCCCCTCACCTGAGGAACCCAGGAAACCCTACCCAACCATTCTGCTCAATTCTTAAACATCCTTGGGGCTCAACTTGGATGATTCTTCCTCTGAGAAGTCGTCCCTGACTCCCAGGCTGGCTAACTCTCCTTAGAGCTCCTATAGCCCCTTGTCTTCCCTCCATAAGCCGGATGCTAGGAGGGTATTACTAACCTCTCACTGTAGATAAGAAACGGACGTTTGGAATGGTAAAGACACTTGCCTGAAGTCACTGGGCTAGTTAGTGGCAACCAGGCCTGGGCTCTATGTCCTCTGATTCTGGTAGTGCTCCCTCCTAGGTCCCAACAGCAGGCTCCTGGGGAGAAGGCCAGGGCTAGAAGAGGAAGTAGGAGTCCTCATCCAGGCCTGCATACAACAAGCACCTGGCCATGTCTTTGGTGAACTCAGCCGAGCCACAGACCAATGCAAATGGCTTCCTGCGACAGGAGCTGACCAGTTCTTCCATCAGATCCTGGGCCAGGCGGCCAAAGCATGTCTTGCCACGGTAACTCCAGGGGAGTTGCTCCAGGGAGTTCTCCTGAGAAGATAAGAAACAGTAGTGGTGACTACTGGGAAGGTCCTTGAAGTTCACACAGCCAGCTCTTCTTTGCCTAATGAAGGAAGAAGCTGAGGCAGAGGGGCTAGAACAAAACCTTTACTGAACCCTACCACAAGCCAGGTTCTGCCTCATGTGAAAACTCTTATTATCCTCATAACAAGCCTGTGAATAGGTTAGAAGGAGTGTGGTTAAGCACTCGGCTGCTAACCAAAAGGCCGATGGTTCAAATTCACCAGCTGCTCCATGGGAGAAAGATGTGGCAGTGTCCTGTAAAGATTACAGCCTTGGAAACCCTCAGGGGCAGTTCTATATGGTTCCTATGAGTTGAAAGCAATTTGGTGGCAATAGGTTGGGTTTCGTGCATAGCCTGTCACCCTCTATAACACATAAGTCATAGGGAGAAGGAAGGACGTCACCCAGGCCACACACTGAGGCACGGCAGCAGCAGGACCAGAGTTGGGCTCCCATTATTTCTCCCTGCCTCCCAGTGGCCACTGTACCTGTCACTCTGGGGAATGGTTTCTTTCCATGTCTGTGGGTCCCAGAGTCATTCCAAGGTCATCCATCACCATCACCCTCAGAACATTTTTGTTTGATTTAAGGTTTCAACTCACTTATTCACTTGGCAAGTATCTGCTGAGTAAGTACCCTGTGCCAGGCACTGTTCTAGGCACTTAGCATACGGAAACTGCTCAAAACAGACATGGTTCCTGGCCTCATGGAAATGACGTTTCTACTGTGGAGACAGAACTAAAAGAGTGAATCATTTAGGAACATCTGGTGGGGTGCAACAGAGGGGTGAGGTAGCAGTGCCTTAACTAAGAAAAGGATTTATTTCTCCCACATAAAAGAGCTAAAGGAGGTTGTATTCTTTATATTTTCACAATAAAAACATAAGAATAAAATAAAATAATTTTTTTTAAATAAAAATATTTGTTAAAAAGTTGTTAGGGAGTATTCCAGGGATGTGCAAGGCTCTGGGATGCCCCAAGGGACCTAGGCTTCTTCTCTTTCTGCCCTTCTAGCCTTAGCTGTGGCTTTCCTCCTCAGGGTCACAAAATGCAAGTTTCAATTCTGATGTGGAAGAATTTTTTCTATTGTTTAAATAAACATTTTGTTTAAGTTTAACATATGCATAGAAAAGTACAAATTATGAAGTACGTATAGCTTGAAGAATCTTTAAAAAGAGAAGACACTCATATAACTGTCATTCAGCTGAAAAACAGAACATGACCATCACCTTTGCAGATCCTATTAAGCCAAGGAGTCCTGGGTGGTGCAAATGGTTACCATGCTTGGCTGCTAAGCAAAAGGATGGAGGTTTGACTCCACCCAGAGGTGCCTAAGAAAAAAGGCCTGGCAATCTACTTCTGACAAATCAGCCGTTTAATACCCTATAGCGCATAGTTCTACTCTGAGACACATGGGGTTGCCATGAGTTGGAGGTGGCTCAACAATATGAGGCTGTTTCTAGTTCTTTGGGCTAAGGAGAAAGACAGGATGGAGAGAAAAGGATGGGGGGCTGGAATCCCACCCATCAAGTTGATTCATGGAGACCTCATATGTGCAGAATAGAACTATGTTCCCTAGGGTTTTCAAGTCTGTGGCCTTTTTTCCTTTTTCTTTTTATTGTGATTTGGGTGAAAGTTTACAGAGCAAATTCATTTTCCATTTAGCAGTTCATACACATTTTGTCTCATGACACTGACTGTAATTTCCCACAATGTAACAGCTTTCTTCCCACTTCCTCCCAATAGTTACCCTGTGTCTTTCCTTCCCATGCACTCCCGCCCCCCTGAACTGTCTCCCTGTGCAAACACTGCCCCTCTGTTCTCCCACAATTTATCGCTCTAAGGAGTGTATCTATCTGATATAAATGTTCACTCCATATGCCCGTGTCTGGAAGCCACAGGAGTGACTTCAGTTCTAGACGTGAAGGTTAGCTAGGGGCCATAGTCTCAGGGGTCTCACCAGGCTCCATCAGACCAGAAAACCTGGTCTTTTATGATTTTGAGTTTTGTTCCACATTGTTCTCCCTCTCTATCCAGGATCTCCTATATCCCCCTCCGAGTGGTTGACAGTGGTAGCCAGGCACCATCTAGTTCTTCTGGTCTTGTGGTCATATAGGCTGAGGATCGCATAGTCTACCAGTCCTCTGGACTAATTGTTTCCATGTGACTTTGATTTCCTTCATTCTTCTTTGTTCTGGACAAGAAGAGACCCATTGTTGCATCTAGATGGCTGCTTGCAAGCTTTTAAGACCCCAGTCACTACTCACCAAAGTAGGATGTAACAATGTTTTTGTGTTGTATGCTATGCCAATTGAGCTTGATGTCCCCTGCGACCATGGTCCCGAGCCCACAGGTCCAACTACTCACTCCCTCAGGGTAGCTAGCTATGGCTAAGAAGCCACAGTAGCCTTGCCCCTTGTCAGCGCTATAGTACACTCAGATATTCTTACAGCACATACAAACACACATGTAGAAACATTGTCTGGGAATTCTCTACATGGTCATGGGCACACTCATCCCTGTCTAGACATACCTGATCATTCAGCCTGTCCCCATCAATCCACCCATAGGTCAATGCTTGCCACTGCTGACAATGCAGTACCGTACACACAAAACGGTTCATCTTTGTTGTCTATACCTCTCTCTGTCTTCTTCTTCCCAGTGCCACCATGTTGATCACTTACTTTTGGTACATTGCCCTTC